GGCGACGCGCGCGAGCTCTCTCAGGCCCGGTCCGCGCTGCACCTCGCCAGCCCGCAGCTCTCCCCTGTCGGCCGCTCGGCTGTCCCAGTCCGCGCGGTCGCGCTTCGACTCGATGTGCCTCTGCCGCCAGCGCACCTCGCAGCCCAGGCGATAGGCCGCCGAGCGTGCGACCAGTCCCCTCAGGACGGGGTCGCGCGCCCGTCCCTTCTCGCAGGCGAGGGCGCTGGCCACGTTGTCCCCGATGGCCAGCAGGACACCCGGTACCCCCGTGCAGCCCCGTGGAGCGGCAGGCCCGCCGGAGCCCCAGGAGCTCGACGCGGGCTTCCTCATGGATCACCGCCCGGCAGCGCCAGCCGCCGCGAAGAAGGAGGCGCCAGCGGCCCCAGGACGCGGCGAGCGGTGCGAACGGCGGCTCGACCTCCACCTCGGGCCAGGACTCCATCCAGCGGCGACGCGGCCGCGCCCGCGCAGCCGGCGCGGCGCGAGGCGCCTGCCGCTGGGCCCAGACGAGCAGGCCCGCCCCCCAGTGGCTGTCCGAGGTTGCAGCCCAGCCCGGGTCGGCATCGCGCCCGGCGCCGTCGCCTGGGGGGCCGGGGGCCTCTGCGAAGCGCCAGCGCTCCCGCGCCTTGGTGGCCTCGACCACCTCGGCGCGCGTCACCTCCGTGTAGGACAGCGCGTAGCCCTTGGTGCTGGAGTCGCCCAGGAAGGCGACCGGCGCGTGCCAGACCTCCCCGGCGACGAAGATCAGCCCCCGCAAAATCTCGAGCTCGCTGAGGAGGTCCTGGTCAAAGAGGCCGTAGTTCTGGTCCGCGTGCATCTCGAGGAAGCGGCAGACCCGGCCCGCGGCGCTCATGCCCTCCGGCCACAGCCCAAAGTAGTTCAGGAGGTGGCCGACGATCCGCTCCATCGCGCGACCCGTGCACCCGCGGCGCGCGGAGAAAGCGCGTCGGGCCCGGCATAGCCGCCAAGCCCTTTTGCGCGCGTGCCGCGCCACGCCCTCACGCCCAAGGCGGAGCTCGAGGCCGACGGACTCGGCGGCGGCGGTCGCCGACCACCTCGTGATGCGCGAGCCCCGCCTTCGAGAGGGCCTTGACCACCGCGGCGAGGCCAAGCTCCGCGCCCCTCCGCGCGGCCCTGATGATGGGCGCGTTGTCCACGTAGGACGGCCGCGGCCGGAGTGCCATCCACCACCTGAGGCGCGACAGCGCGGTCGGCAATGAGCGCGGCGTGACCCCCGGTCTCCGCGAGGCCGCTCGACACGTGCCGGGCCATCACGGCCTGGCAGAAGTACAACGCGAATGTCCAGCCCATGGGGGGGGCCCTTGAAGCAGAAGAAGAGCTTGCCCTCAGGCGCGACCGCCTCGTGGACGCCCGAGGCGGGGTCGAAGACGGTCTCCGCCCCCCACGTGGCCGCGTCCTCGGGGTAGTCAACGCCGAACCACTCCCGGACCTCCTCCACGGTGAACTGGTAGAAAGAGTCGGTGAGGTCCACCGTCGCGACGCGCGGAAGGTCCGCGTCGTCGGCAGAGGCGCCCGAGCCCGGCGCGCGCCCACGAGCCTCCTCCGACAGGTCGATCGAGGCGAGCGCGGCCGGCGTCCCCAAGTGGACCTTCGGCGCCCTCCGGTGGAACTGATTCGGCACGCGGGCATCGCGCACGAGCCCCTGCACGCCGCCCCCCCCCCCCGCGGTGAAGAAAACAACTTTGCCACAAATGCGGCGTCGTAGAGTCCCCGGGCCAATGTCCGCGAGCCGCTTGAGGAACTTCAGCCGCGCACCCCGATGGCAGCGCAGCTTCTTGTCCCAATGCCGCCGGACAGTCTGGAGCCCCCCGCTGTCAATCTCAGCCTGAACCTCGGCGAACGAGCGCTCGTTGGTGGAGTTCGCATCCCGGTAGAGCTCCGCGCCCCCCCCCAAGAGCCTGCCCAAGAGCGGCTTCGGCTTGATGTCCCGGTGGGGGATCTCGACCTCGTCGAAGTCAAACGGGGCGCGGAGGCGCTGCTCGATCTCATGCAGGCCCTTTGTCTTGAGAAGCGCAAGCAAGGCTTCGTCATCTGACATCTTTTCGACAGGGCTCGGAAAGGACGCCACTCTCCGGCCCGCACGTTGGGCGACCGAATGTTGCGAGGCGGTCAGCGGCCTCACAGGATCTGGCCTGGGCTTGGGGAGGAGCACCACCCCGACCGAGTTCAAGGCGAGGGTGTTCAGCGAGGTGGCCGCCTCCCCGACTCGGAGTTCCCGGCGCTCTCGGCGACGCTGGCGCTGGACCAGGGACCGACTCGTCGGGCGCGCCGTCTCGGCGTAGGGGGGATGGCGGAGCGGGAAGGGATCACCATGGTTAGGGCCATCGAGGCGACCGTCGGTCTTGACAGCACCGTAGCCCCCGAAAAAAAATCGCCATGCAGGCCGCATTCGCCAGGGCGGCGATCGCGCCGGATACAGCGGCGGCCATCGCTGCACCCGGGCCGCGGCCCCGGCTCCAAGGTCATGACTGGGCGTCCGCCGCCCCTCGCGGCGCGGCGGAGCTCTTCCTGGCTGCGGCGGCCCTCTCCTCCCGCAAGGGCCGGCCCTGCTTCGTCGTCTGGGCCTGGTCGCGCTGGCGCGCGGTGAGCCACTCGTTGAACTTCTCCGTCGCAGCGCCTGCTGCACGCGCGAGGGCCGACGACAGCATGATCTCGAGCCCTTCGAAGTCGAGCTGCCTCGGGTTGCGCTCCACGGCCTGCTCGATCTGGAGCAGCCGCCGAACATGGAACTCCGACCCGACGAGCTGCGCCAGGTCGAGCGGGTCGATGGTGACCTCGACGCGCAGCTGGTCACAGAGCAGGAAGTGCTCCCTGCACACCGCCCTCTTCTCGCCGACCCCGCTCTTCTGCCGCCAGTTCATGCGGTGGGCGACGAGGGCGAGGCCCGCGACCGCGAGCGCCTCAAAGAACGGCAGCACCACCGAGGGGCCCTGCAGCGGGCTGTCGGGGATCGGTGCCCCGCCTCCTCTTCCCGCAGGAACCTCTTCCCGCGCGGGTCCCGGGCCACACCCAGCGCCCGCTGGTCTCGGCCCGGCCCGCTGCCCTTCTTGTCCTTCCAGGACGCCAGGTCGTTGTCGGCGACGCGCTCGATGCTGACCCAACGCTCGTCGAGGGAGGCGAGCCCGGCGTCGCCCCGAATGACGACGCTCTCCTCATCGTCCAGCGCCTCGTCGGGGACGACCTCCCCGAACATCTCGTGGGCGGCGTCGCTGACGCGCCAAACGCCTGCCGGCCGCGCCGGGCCAGGCAGCACGAAACCCACCGTCTCGGCGTACATCTTCTCCTGCCGGACGAGGGCCTCTTCCTCTCCCTCCTCGAATTTCGTCGAAGATATATGCATCACCCCGCGCTCGAGCTGGAAGCTCCTCCCCAGCACGGAGGTGCATGATGCGGCGGCGGCTCAGGTCGAGCAGCTGCAGGTGATGGTCCGGCGTGCACGCCGCCCACTGCGTGCCCCCGCCGTGGTGGAGAGGCAGCCTCATGTGCCACGTGAAGTTGTCAGCATCGGGGTAGTCGACCAGGACGATGCGGAGCCTGGTCGCCAGCGCGTGAGTCACCATCTCGGCGAACTCACGCGGTCACGAGCTGCTGTCGGAGCTTGGGCGCGTTGGCGCCCAAGCGTGTCGCTCCACCGCCTGGCCCTGCACTCGTGCCACGTGCAGTCGTCGGCTCGCCCGGCTCCTCGACGAGGTCGTACAGAGCTCTAGGCGCCGAAGACCTCCGCCGCCGCTGGAGCCTGGGCAGCCCGCCCGCGCACGTCCCCGCAACAAAGGCCCCGACTCCCACGACCACGAGCAACCACCAAGGCAACCCCCAGCACGGCGTGCACGGCTCGCACGCCTCACAGACCCGCTCAGGGCAGGCTTTGGGCGGTACCGCCTTCGGCGCCGGGCACTTCGGCACCGCCGAACAGGCGGGCGCCGCCGGGCACGAGAGCTGCCCGGGTCCGCAGCGTTCCAGCTGCTGCCCAAGGGGAGCCAGCACCTTCTCCGAGGGTTCGGGCAGGCCCTCGAAGGAGATGTGGCAGTCGCAGTGGCACGTGCCGTCGGCAGGCCGGCCCCCTGTCTGCAGCCCGCCCAGGTAGCTGCCCAGCGCGCTGCCGGCGAAGGAGGCCCACCCGGGCCACATCCGCCGCGGCCGATGCTCTTGGCCTGAGCGGAGACAATTGCGGAGGGCTCGAGGGGGCCTCCGAAACACGGTGAGCTCAGCGCTACAACATTTATTGTCATCATAGATTGGGCACACTTACATTGTTGTTGTTATTATTAGTATTATCATTATTATTATTAGTATTATGATTATAATTGTTATTATTAGTAATATTTTTAATATTGGTAGTATTACTAGTATTAGTAGTAGTATTATTATTAGTATCATTACCATTATTATTATTAGTAGTATTATTAGTAGTAGTAGTAGTAGTAGTAGTAGTAGTAGCAGTAGTAGTAGTAGTAGTAGTAGTAGTAGTAGTAGCAACGGCCTCGAGTGGCCTTTTAATCGCCTGTGAACAGCCTTTAGATGCCTTTCGCGGGCAGCCTCTAGTGGCCCTCTAATGGCCTTTACTAGCCTCTGCAGAATGACAAAGAGTGGCATTATGAATGTGAGAATGCGTTTCCAAAACGACCCAATGACAACTTTTCTCCTTCCCCAGGCAACGGTCGCTACCCAGAGAAGGAGGGTGTCGGGCGGGAGGGTAACGGCAACGGCGGCCGCGGCGTGCACCTGCCAGGGTGCGTCCGCGCCACCAGCGCATCAATCGCCTCCGTGCGCTACAGCATATGCGGGGGGGGGGGGTCCAGCCTCCCCCCCCTTCCAGCACGATCGTTAGCGTTACCTGGGGGGGTGGGGCAGGGGTTTGGCCCAGGTAACGAGCGTTCACATGGGGAGGAAAAAACACGCTCACCCACTTGACATGCCCATTTTTTCCGTGCCCATGTCGTTCGTTCCGAACAGCGCGAGGGGCGCCCTCGTGTGGGCGCCGGTCCTTCCAGCCCGAAAAGCTGGAGCCGCCCCCGCGGTCGTCGGCGGACTGCGGCGGCGCAGGGCGCGGACGGGCGCACGCTCCGCACTGGCCGCCCCAGGCCACTTTCAGCGCGGGCACTGAACAGGGTATCGCTGGGACTGGCGATCTGCACCTGAAAAAAAGGATCAAGAAAATGAGCACTTGAGAAATCTGAGCCACCTTCCCGCAAGGCTCTGAAAGCAAACCTGGGCCAATGTCTGCTGTTCCCACTGGAACGGCGAACGTGCGCAAGAAACTGGGCCAACTTTCCGGCAAGATGGTCAAGAAACGGCGGCACAACTTTCTGGGATAGGTTATCTTGAGCAGATGCTCGACTGTAGTATTTTTCCGCACCAAACAAACTAACTCCACCTCCGCACTGCGCATTCTCGACCGCCATGCGATGCAAAGAGTCGCCAGGTGAGCGGGGTGCAACCCACGAGCCGACCTGCGATAGGCAAACTCATGAGGTGAACCGTGGCCTGAGAAATGGTGAGCGCGTGAAGGGTACACATCTATGCAAAACGATGCGCCCCGCCTGAAATGGCCTGGGTCCTAGAATGGATACGGCCAGACATAGGACAGAAGTTCATCGATCAAGACCATGAAACTCTCCGCTGGCCGAACTGAAGAGCATTCGTGGGTACCCTCCCCCAGGATACACAATGATATCCGACAACCACGAAGATGGGGGCCTAGGGGCACGTTGTCCGGTCGAGCTTGGACCTCGCAGGATGCCCCCAGAACTCCAACGGGTGCTTAGGGGCGTGGGGCACTGCAAGCATGCCGATTGCTGGTTTTGCGTATCTACTTACGTCGCTCGCGTGTTTTCAAAGTCTGGCTTGGCTTCAAGCAGTGGCCCACTCTGCTTCGGATCCTGACTGGGCGCCGCAAGCCCAGTCACGCTCTGCAATGGATCCTCTTGGTTTCGAAGTCTGCTCCGTTTTCAAGTGATGGCGCTCATTGCAAGGGAGCTCGCGGCCCGTGGGTGGCGCCCTTGTGGGAACATCACGGACCATGCCCTTCGCCTCGACTGACCATCCATGAGTGCGACAGCGCCTGGCCCTCAGCACATTCCCTGTACTATCGCCCGTGCCGTGCTTGTTCTGTGGCGGTCACCAACTGGCCCCGTACGGGGTCCCGCCCTCCTCCTCGGAAAGTCGACAGGTCCCGGTAATGCAGCGGTGGCGGCCCAGGCCTCCCGGGAAGCCCAATGATTGGGAAGCGGTGCAGGCGTGGCAAAATTGGTGCCTTTTCCGCCTCTGACCTCCGCTCCCCCAGCGGCGGGAGCTGCATTGCCAGGGCGACGACGTCTACACAGATCCACTGCTCCCTGCCCAGACCTGTCCTAGCCCAGCAGCCGTGTATACGCCACGCCCTCCTGGCTTGCCCCACGAGGGCGTATACACAGTTCCTGGGCCGAGGAAGCGCCCGGCCACGGGGTAGTAGATACGTATAGGTTTCGTCGCCTGCTTGGAGAGCCAAGCCTCGGCAGCAGCGGCACGAGATGCCGCCCAGCGCCGCAAGAAGCAAACCGTGCTGGGGCCCGCGCCTCTTCGCGAGGGGGGGGCCTCCAGGCTGCCGTTCCTGGCCCTCTGCGGGCCGCGGCAGCCAGGAGTTCCTGCGAGGACCCCAGCGAGCGAGGGTTGGAAGTGAGAAGGAGAAGGCCTTTTCAGAAGGCGGCGGGGGATCTCAGAAAACCTCGCGCCTTCCGAAAGGTTTTCCGTGTCTTCGGGGAAGGTTCAAGAAACTTCTCAGAGGGCCGGGGGGCTTCCGAGCCTTCTGAGAAGGCCTTCTCCTTCTCACTTCCCCGCCAGGCTCGCCGCCGAGCCTGCACCTCAGACACCGTGTGACTTGTCTGCGGGGCCTGGAACTGCAAACTGGCGGCGAAAATCGCAAAGCACCCCCGTCTGGTTTTCGTCGCATGCGCGGGAGGTCCTGGGACGACGCAGGCGAGGGCCAGGAGCAGGATGGCGATGGCGACGACGACGACGACGACGACGACGACGACGACGACGACGACGGCGGCGATTGCGAAATGGACGAGGACGTCGACGTCTACGGTGACGACGACGACAAGGGCGACTACGAGGGCGAAGGGGGCGAGGACGCCGAGGTCTGTGCTGAAGCCCCGAAAACGACGGCGGCGGCGGCGACGACGACGACGACCGCGACGACCCCACTACATATGGCGGTGAGGACCCAAACGCCGACATCTGCGGGGCGACAACGCCGGCGGCAACGACCACGACGTCGATCTGGCGAAACAAAAACATCGCATGAATAAAACATTGCTCCCTAGACCCAACCTTCCTGCGACATGTTTCGAGCCCGACCTGCGATGGCCCCCGGGCCTGGGCGGAAACGCCCGGTGCGAACAACATTGCGACGCCCAGATCTCAGAGTCTCTGCGAGGACAACGACGACCACGGCGACTAGAAGCCTCCCAGATGAGGTCAGCGTAGATGGGATCCGAGGATCGCGCCGCATTGCCGCTGCATCGCCAATGCATCGGCGATGCCTCGGCGACGTCGCCAGTGCATCGGCGACGTCGGCGTGAAGAAGAGAAAATCAGACCCCGCATCGCGCCGTGTCGCCGATGCATCGGCGACGCGGCGCGGCCCTCCGCCCCCGTCTGCTTCGGCCCTACTTGGGGAAAGCTGGGAGTAATGGCGGCGGCGCGGCGCCGGGCTCGCGGGGGCCGCCTTCCACCCGCTGTCGTCCCGCCTCTGCTCGCCCCTGCCGCCGCTCCACGACGACCCGCCGCCCGAGCTGCCGCCGCCCCGGCCCCAGTCGTCGCCGCTGCTGCCCCACTTGGGCTTCTCCTGCGCCGGGCGCGGCGCCAACGGAAGAGGAGCAGGGGGGGAGGTTTCGGACGGGGCATTCTGGCCGGTGCTCGGCAGATTCCCAATCTCGAGATGCGTTCCACCAGCTGTGCCTCACCGAGAGGGTTTCAGGGGTGCCCGGAGTGTCCCACATGGCCGCTGGAGACCCGACTTAGGACCCGAAAGCCAGGAGGAGGAACTACCTCCCCTCAGCGATGGAGGCTGGTTCCCTGCGTGCTAAGGGTATGTACGCACGTGGGGGTGCTAATGAAGGCGTGTGCTGCCGGAGCTGCATGTCCCAGTAGCGAGGCAGATATTCGGCCAATGCCTGCGCCTCTCGCGGAGGAAGAGGAGAAAGAGGAAGAGGCGGAGGAGGAGGAGGAGGAGGAGGAGAAGGAGGAGGAGGGGGAAGGGGAGGAGGAGGAGGAGGAGGAGGAGGAGGAGGAGGAGGAGGAGGAGGAGAAGGAAACCACTGGGGCTCAGGCCATTTTGGCGGAGCACAGGGCTCAGGCGCCGCGCCCCCCTCACGATAGTTGCTCGTGAAAGCTCCCGCGGCTAGGCCGGCGGCTGAGCACCAGAGGGCGCGCGCGACTCACGGCGCGCTCGGGGCGCCGCAGGGGCTCCCCCGAGCCAGCCTGGCACAAGAGGCAGCGGGCGCAGCGAGGGCGAGCTCGCCTTCTCCTCAGCGTGTTCCAGGCCAAGCGCCTCCTCGAATCGCACCATAGCACGATGGGTGGAGGTACTTGGACATGCAGGCAGTGCGAGACAAGAAATCCTAACTCTCAGTGGACATGCTCGTGTGGCAACGTGTGGGCTCCTCGCCCCGATCCCACCAGACGTTCGGCCAGCAGAAAAAGGGACCAGAAGAAGTCCGCCAGCATAAGAGAGTTGATCGCACAGATCCCTGTTGCAGCACCTGATGAAGCGATTGCCAACATCACGGTGTGGGAGCCGCCGCCGCCAGAGGCGGACGAGTTGAAGATCTACAAGTCAAAGGCCCAGTCGAAGCTCCAGAAGTTCGCCAACCTCCTCGTCGCAGTCCGTGACGCAGGGAAGGAGGATCCAGCCCTGGAGTTCAACATAGGGGTGCTCAAGTACATGATGAGTGCCTGCAAGGGCTCAGAGAAGCAGTTGCATGAGTTGAAGGCCCAGCTCATCAGCGCCAAGGAGAGGCTCGGCAAGATACGAGCTAAGGTTGAGGAGCTGCTAGACGAGGAGGCGACGCTCTGCCTGATGGTGCAGAAGCTACAGAACTCCATCCAGCAGCTACGAGAAGCGGAGGATGCACCAGATCATGATGAAGACTGGTTGATGGCCCCGCCAGGAGGAAGTGAGCATGGTCTCAGAGCAGCCAGCAGTTCGAGTAGAGGGTCTACTACATAATTGAAAATGCTCATAATTGAATGGGAAAGCTCATTTTGCTTAGATTTTTTTGGTTTGGGGGGATGGGGGCGCGTGCGCGAATTGCGCGCCCAAACGATATGATTTCACGATTCCGAGTTGGCTGTCGGAGGCCGCGACGCAAGAACACGAGCAACGCCGACGTTCACCGAAGTTCAGTGCATGCGTCGCATAAAGTGCATATGCGAATGCATTTGGCGGAAGCCGCGCACAAGGCGCGCCCAATGCGACACTATTGAAGTAAGAACGAGCAACCCTGTCGAATGCGACAACCATGCGCAACTGCAAATGCCGCAAGATAGGTGCACATCAAAAGAAGACAAGGGTTCCCACTGGGAGATGCGCGTGTGCGTGTGTGTGGAGGGGGGGAGGGGGGGAAGGGGGGGGTGGGGGGGGGGGCGGGGGGGGGGGGGGGGGGGGCACGCGCTGGGGCGCCAACGTGGCCCAAGACGGCTCCAAGAGCGCCTCGGAGAGCCCAAGACGAGCTCCAAGATGGCTCAAGATAGCTGAAGATGCCTCAAGATGGCCCCGAAGATGCTCCAAGAGGCCCCAAGACCGCCCCAAGACGGCTCCATGATGCCAGATAGCCCCCCAAGGAGGCCTCCAAGATGCCAAAATCATTCCAAAACCTAGAAAAGAAACTTGTGATTGTTGGCTTCTCGCCTTTTCGCTTTCCGATGGCCTTCTCGCTTTTTCGTTTTTTGAAGCGCATAGAATGAAACATATCGGGCGCCGAAACGGCCGCACTCTCGCACGCAACGCCGCCATGTCCTCAACCTCGAGAACGAAAACCCCTTCAAAGGCGGGAACACAGCAACCCAGATGTTGCCATGGTGAAACGCGGTGAAACATAAAATGTTTAGGGTGCGGCCCTCCCCGCCCTCGCGGGGCGGCCTTGCTCCCTGGGGCGTGGGCGGGGATCGGCGGCGGTGCCGCCCCCCGTGTCGCTTGCGATTTAGAAAGGGAGCTCTTACAATTTCCATTAACAACCATAGTCGCTACTATATCCACTGCGTTTCGCCAAAAACACCCGCGCGACCTTGTGACGTAGGGTGCGACACCCCCTCGCGCACGCCGCGCTACGCTGCGACGCGTTGCAACGCGACCCCGCAATGCCCTTCAACACCCTGCGATGCAGACACCCGCGGTACCATGCAACTCAATGCAAAACAGCGGCGCGCCGCCATGCGAAGCCATGCAATACTGCGCGCGTGGCTGCGCAGGGCCTTGCAACGCCCTGCAACGACCTTGCAACCCCAACTGCCTCCCGCGTATATATTCTCCCGCTCGCGCGCAAGCGAGCTGTCTCCGTGCGGGGCCGCGGCGCCGCGCGCGCGGAACGGCCCAAAATGGGCAGGCCCGCCCCGCGCGCCCGAGCCGGGGCGCCGCCTCAGGCGGTGGAGTCCGCCTGGTCGCCGTAAACGGCGATGCAGCGCCACATCAGCCAAGATGAGGGAGAGGAGGGAGGGGGGCTGAGAAGCTGCAGAGACAGCAAGAGCGCGGGTCGCAAGGAGAATAGAGAGGAGCATTCTCCCGCTCGCGCGCAAGCGAGCTGTCTCCGTGCGGGGCCGCGGCGCCGCGCGCGCGGAACGGCCCAAAATGGGCAGGCCCGCCCCGCGCGCCCGAGCCGGGGCGCCGCCTCAGGCGGTGGAGTCCGCCTGGTCGCCGTAAACGGCGATGCAGCCATACCCATGCTCAAAGCCCTTGCGCAGTGACAAGGTTTCGGCGGGCGGCCGATAGACGGGTGGGTGGTCCATACAGCAGGGCCGACCCCTAGAAGGGAAGCGACAAGGACGTCGCGGGCGGGCAGCGACAGAGGTCGCAACTGACAGTACGACAGGCGACCTGAGCACAAAGGGGGCTCAGGGAGAGCGGACAGCTCGTAGGGGGGCGAGAAGGCCGTTTAGACGATCAGCACGCCAATAGCCGAAAGCAAATAGTTTCACCGAGTACGGAAGCCGCAACGCGCGCAGGGCGGGAGCGGATCGGTGAAGTCCAAATGCTTACCCCCCTGCTCTGGCCGACGCAGCGTCGTCGGCTGAACAATCTGGCCGCTACTTAAGCCAGTGTCGTGAAACGTGGCTCCCCTGCTGAAGCGCCAGAAGGATGCACTCGAGGACCAGATTCAGGGTCGTCTGGGGAGCCTCGGCGCACGCTCCCATGACGTCCCCTGCGGCCACCTTGGCGAAGCTTGCGCCTTGCCGAAGCGCCAAAATGAGGCGCTCGAGGGCCCGATTCAGGGTCGTCTGGGGAGCCTCGGCGCACGCTCCCATGACGTCCCCTGCGGCCACTTCGGCGGAGCTTGCGCCCTGCTCGAGCGCCATAAGGAGGCACTCGAGGGCCAGATGCAGGGTCCTCTGGGGAGCCTCGGCGCAAGCTCCCCTGACGTCACCTGCGGCCACCTCGGCGGAGCCTGCGCCCTCATCGAGACTGGCCAACCCCAGGGGCGGCAGGATGCTCGGGGAGAGAGCAGCGGGCGGCTGCGTCGAGGCGCCACTGCCCCGCCTGTTCCCCCAAGCCGCTACTAGGGCGGAGGCAGGAACCAGAGCGCAGGTCTGGACGCGTTGAGGGGGCCCAGGGGCCCTGGCCAAGATGGCCTCGACGGTCGGCGCCTGCAGGCCCAGGCGCGCCGCTTCGTCGGCGGACAGGTGAGGGAAGTTCAGACGCGGAACGCGGGAATCCGAGATAGGGGACAGTGGGGCCGCACTCCCCTGAGTCAGAGTGGGCAAGGGCTGCTCGACGGCCTCGGAAGCCGTGCGCCGCGCTGCGAAGGCTGCAGCCGCGGCGCTCCCGGGGTCGCCGCTGTGGGTGCCGCTGGGATGCAGCTCGCGCCCCGAGCCCCGGCCAGGCGCGAGGCCGCTCGAAGACCCCCGTTCCTCGGCGGCACGCCCTCCGCCCTGCGGGGCCGCAGCAGCATCGCTGGAGGAGCGCGTGCCTACCGAGGACGGGGGGGCCTGAGCAGCGGGGCCCGCGCGGTAGCTGCCTGCGTGGGCGCCGCCCGAGCTCGCACCCTGGCGGGGCGCGGCCTGCCGAGGCGCCGTAGCTGGGCTCGGGCGCCGCTTCGGAGCGACCCGAGGGGCGCGCGCCTCGCGACGCCGAGGCGACGTCACCTGTCGCGAGGGCGCGCGGGGGGAGCCGCGGGCGTCCCTGGAGCGCGACGCCTCTCGCCTGTCTGAAGGGCGAGGGGGCGGAGGCGGCGGCGGGAGCAAGGGCCGCGGAGGCTCGGAGCCTACGCGCGGACCGCGGCCCCGAGAGCGGCTGCGAGCCGAGGCGCGAGCGGCGGGCGGGGAGCCCCCCGAGCGGCGAGGAGGGTGCCCCCTGTTACCGCGCTGCTGCCTGCCCCCGTGGCTGCGGGGAGAACCCCTCCTGCTGCCGGAGCGCTCATGAGAGCGGGAGCGCTCGTCGCGGGGTCCTCGTTCAGCCGAGCCACCAGGGAAAACCGTCTGCAGGCGGCGGAGGACCTCGGGGTTCATGCCCGCCACGACGCGCTCAAGGTCCATCGAAGAGTCCGCGAGGGCGCTCAGAGAGGCGAGCGCGCCCTCTTGCAGAAGGGCGTCGTCGGAGTCGAACGCCTCGTCCTCGTCGCACGCGGGCTCCGCTCTCGAACGGCTGCGAACGCTCGCGGGCGGTGACCCGTCGGGCGAGCGCGGGGGGCACC